TATTTCTTGATTATAATAATCCTGGACTATCTACCATTGGATGCTTTAGTCAAATAATGTGTTCTTCTCTTGCGAAACAGAGGGAGGAAAGGGACTTCGATGGTTTTTTTTTCCAACATATGGGGCTCAGGAGATATTTAGAAGTTACTGTGTGTGACTAACAGTGTGTTTTTTTTGCTAAAATTTGAAGAAAAAAATTATATTTTTAAATTATTTTGATATTAAAAATTATTTTAATATATTTTTAAATAAAAAAATATTTTAAAAAACAATTACAACTACATCAAAAAAATATATATTTAATGTTTGTATAAAAGTCTATTATCCGCTGGACGACTATTAAGTGTATATAAACATTACTTTCCATTAATCTTGGTGGATGTAACAATTGCCACTGTGTTTCTTTATAGAAAAGGAGGGCAAACTGACAGGCAACGATTCGATAAGGGTGCCGCTCTGAAGTATCACGGGTTCGACGAGACAGGAAGATATCCTTCGAGGAACTTTCCTGGCGTTGATAGTAGGATCCACCTGAAAATTATTCTCGAAGGACGAGCGTGCCTAATTAGCTGATATTTATTTAATTTTTCTAATTAACATTCTACATGAACTGTTTATACAATTTATAGAGTATTTAATGCAATTAATTTTAGCTATCCAAGAATTAAAGATAATCTATTTATAAAACCTTTGGGTGTACCTAATTTATCAACTTAACCTTCCTCTCTATTAATTTTTAAATAGTTTATGCATTCTGAGTTTTATTTAATCATTTTAATTGAGAAATGAAAAAAAAAAGCAAGGGAAATAAAATATATATATATATAATTCATAGCAACCACCTATAGTTGGTTCAAGTGATTTAATTGGTTCAAGTAATTTAATATTTATTATTTTTAAATAAAATTTTATATATAAATTATATCATGATTAGAAAAGCTTTAACTAAGCTGACACAGTTCAAAACACTAAAGTATTTATAATAGAAACAGCATTCAACATAATAATTTCACATGACATTTATTTAACAAAATATTACACCACACCCCTTGTCACATCAGTTTGCAGGATTTATATGGACAACTTTTGCCTTTTTATGTATAGAATTGTACAACAGACGAGGTTATTTTTTTATTATTATTAATATTGTTTTTCAAGGTAATTTATATACATCTCAAATTAATTTTATGAGTTATAAAATTAATAATTATATAAATTTTTAATAATTTTAAAATTTATAAAAATTAAATTAATAATTCCTATAGTACAGTAGTCAGAAATCATTAGAATGGCCTCAACGGTTCAACCCTTCATGTTACTAACAGACACCAGGTACTGATGACCAAGACCGACTTGACATCTGTATTCTCTACCGGGCAATTATTTTTTACTTGTTATGATTTATTTTTTATTTTACATTGCAGATCGAAGACGATGGAAATTCAGACGGGTAAGGAAAAAAAAAGGTTTTAAATTCAAATGAATCCTACAGTGCATGGGTCCTTTGGGATGCTGGTTTTCCCAATCCACCTTCCATCGAGTGTCAAAAAAAAAAAAATGCACAGAGCTGGAACGACCTGGTAAAGAAACTCAACCAATAAACAGAGTCACCCCATGACCATCCAATTTAGTCAAGTCTTTTGACAAATACCTCATTGGGTAGGTGAGCAATTAAGGCCGAATGCGCTTCCTGTTTCAAGGTACATCCATCTTAGACATTATCTCGATTATCAATAAATAATGGATTTCTGATTTTATTGTCTTCTTGCCGAGGAGGGACCCCCTCCTTTCATACCTCCTGATTCACTATGTGACGTGCCGGACTTATGTTGAGAAAATCAAAACCAAAAATATGTCGAAGCAGCCAGAACTTGAGTGTTTTATCACCCTGTGGTCCGCAAGCAGTGCGCTGGTGCCAAGACAAAATAATTGGGGATCATTTCCAAATTGATTCCTGTTGGTGAAGTGTTTTTTCTTTTCCGGGTGGTTGTTTCACAGCAATTAACTAGTTTGAAGCAAATCAAGAATAATTTAACATAAGCTAATTGGAAAAGGAATTTCAGAGAGTTAAAACAGTGATCATTGTAATAGTATTTTCATGGTTTTGTTCTTTATATTAAAAAAATAACATTAATTATTAAGGGTATTAAAATATTTTTATGATATATATTAGTCATTGCTAAATTAACCAAAAACAAATAAATTTTTTTTAATTATATAAAAAAATAAAAAAATACTATTAAAAAAAATAGCATTGATAAATATTTTAATATTTTCACAAAGATTTTAAAAATTATTCTTGCATCATCAAAGTGATAATTTAGTATTTAATTAAAATAAAAAGTAAAATAAAACAATCAAAATTAACCTTGGGGTTGTCTTTTCATAATGATCTTTATTATTATTATTATTATATTAATTAAGAGGTAATTTGATATTTGATTAAATATTAAAAAAAAATAAGACGCGTGCATCGCCTCTCAGTGTTCAAAAATACTTTTCTCATGTCTTTAAAGCACCGCTGCATTATTTTTTTTAGTGGTGTGGCGGTTGTCAATAGTAGTGGTTCGGTTTATCATTAGCGAGTCTTTCTTCTATTTTTTTTTTCTTTAAAAATTATAGTATAATCCTCTTTATTTTTTGTATTTCGTCAATAGTAGTGGTTCGGTTTATCATTAGTGAGTCCTTCTTCTATTTTTTTTTTTTTTCTTTAAAAATTATAGTACAATTCTCTTTATTTTTTGTATTTTAATCTTAGTCTTTGATATTTTTATTTTTATTTTTTTGTTACTTTGTAGAGGGTTATTTATTTTTAATCTTAATTTCTCATATTCCAATTTGCTTCTTATTTTTTTATTTTTTAGCCTTTTTTAATTTGATTTCTATTCTCAACTTCACCCTTCAATTAATTTTTTTATTTTAATTTTAAACTTTATTTTTTTATTATTTTTTATCCTTTTGTTCAATTAATTTTTCTTTTAAATTTCACAATTTAATATAAAAAAAATTATATTTTTATTTTGATTTTTATTCTCTTACTTGTTTTTTTTTTTTTTGAATCTTGTTGCGTAACTAATACCTTTTTTCCAAACTAATCATTTAATATTTAATTGGTTAGACTTCATAATTTTTTCAAATAAAACACTTATGGTCTAATAATTTAGCTTACAAGTTTAAAAAATTATTTGGAGCTGGCAATGTTTCACACACACAAATTTATATTTTTTTCAACTTTATGTTTTTTTTATATTGTTTTATTGGATCATCATATTTCTATAACTTCGATTCATGTCAACTCGAAATGACTCACTTTTTATTATTATTATTAGAGCTATAAATTTACTATACTAATTTGAATTGACCTAGTATTTATTAGGTTGAGAACTATGCTATATCGTTTACTATATTTAAAAAAAAAATATTTTATCTAGGTTATCATTATTATTATTATTTTATTAAAATAAAATTTATTTAATTAATTGAATTCAATTTATAACTCGAGATTATTTTTTTCTTCTTTAGAACTTGTTTACGCTACTTAAATATTATTTAAAACGTAAAAAAAACTGCAGCTACACGACTAGTTTTTAATGCTAAAACAACCATTTTTCCGTCCAGTTACATTGCAATAACACCTGATGATGCATTTCACCCTTTCTATTGGATTTTTAGATGCGAGAAGAATGCGTGATCTAAGAAGAAGGTTTTACAAAAAAAAATTGACCTCAACTACATTGTCTTCGAGTTAACCAATTCAACATATTTCGGTATTCAGAATGTTTCCTTCTGCATAACCCCATGGCCTGCGGTATAGCATCTACACAATTTTCAACTCAGGACACATAAATTTCCACGTCTCAATTAATATTAGTATGAAACCCTCCTTTACTCCATTATTTTCAGAGGATTAAATAAATAGAATACGTAAAGGCCACACCCTCGTCCCTGGTGTCGATTAATGAAGTGTTTTCGGAGGCTAACCAAAAGTCAGCCTCTTCGGCGCACTCTTTATTTTTATAATTAAAAAAATCATTTCATTTTTTATTTTAAATTAATTATTTTTTATTTTTAGATTATTAAAATATAAAAACATATATTTTTAAATAAAAAATAATAGTAATCAAACTCTCGAACACTTGTTTAGCATGCGAGAATGGCCACATATGCACAGTGAAGATGATGTCACCAAATACAGGCAAACGTTGTCACAAGTTTACTTTATTAAAAAATAGTACGTGGAAGGACAAGGAGTAGATGGGCACAAAGCTATTGGTATACAGCTGGCTTAAAAGAGATTCTCGAGACAACATCTCTCCTTGCAGATATACTTTGCTTTGGAAAGCAAAAAAATCTCCGGAGCAAAATTAATTTTTTGGCCCACTTCTTCCGGGGCAGCCCTTAGAAAAAGCGCATCTTTCCTATGCTAAACACTAATCTAAGCGGGTCGAAGAGCTTGTTAGTTTCCATGGTTTTTTTCAAAAAAATAAAATTTATATATTTTTAAATCATCTAAACATATTAATATTAAAAATAATTTTTTTTAAAAAAAAAACCCAAACAAAAAATAATTTAAAAAACAAACACCCCCTGAATAATCACTTCTTTTTTGAACGGTTTGCAGATGGAAGTGGGGGAAGGAAATAAAAAGTTTAATTTATAGTTTTTTCTTTCCTTGATTTCACAGTTCTAACAAGACAGCTAAATAAATAAATAAAAAATCATTCCTACATTTGTATTGGAAAAAATAAATTATAAAAATCATTCCGAAATATTTATAAAAAATACCATTCCAATAGAACAACGCTTGTAGAGTATAAAAACATGAGAACACTATAATTTTCCAATCCCGCATAAAAGATCCCGCATGCAAAATGACCTGAGAAAGATTCACAGGCTTTCATGACCAGACAAATTGAGATGTGCCCATCGTCAATAGAATTAAAGACAAAGCTTTAATTAAACATGGCAAAAAAGGCACCAAAAATAAACAAACTGAAGATAAGCTGAAAATCTCATAAGTTCGATTTAATTGCTTTAACATAGACAAGATGTGAGGAATGAGCAAAACTCAAAAAACCCAGTAACATTGAAAACAATTCAAGAAACTGGAGAATTCCTTGGACGGCTCTATTAGCACAGCAAAACCCAAAGAATACTTGCGCAGTAAAATGTGTTCACTCCTCCCTATCACTCAACAAAACATAAAAACAGTACTCACTTGCAAAAACATTCTCAAGGGCCTCTGTTTAAGTAGTCCACCTCAGATCTCTGGTCTCTGTAATATAACTCAAAAATAAACTGAACATAATAATAATGATAACTTTACTATTACTAAAATCCTAGCTGCAAAAATTATAGGCATGCGATGTTGAGAGGTTTCTGTTGATGATCATCCAAATAAGAAAACTCCTCGTTGCCAAACTCGAAATCATAATCAGGAAGATCGCTTGGTTCATCACCATTTAGCCCGCAGATATCAAGATCAACAATGCCACAGTAATCATCATAGAAACGACCAAACTCGTCAATAAGATTCCCGACCTCCTGTCCAAGGTTAAGATCATGCTCAAACGGACAAGAAGCCAAAGGATCGGACATAAAAGCCAGATCAGGTATATCAAGATCCGCAACAGAGGCACAAATATCTTCATCTTTAATCGAAAGACCAAAATCACCAGTGACATTTGACACCACAGAAGTTTCAAGTTCAAGAACAGAAGCTGGGGAAGTATGTGAAACTACGCTCTCATCAGTTTCATCGGAAGCCGAACTGCCTTGATTTTTGCAGCTACTGTGAGAATGAGATTGTGAGACACCACCACATGTCATGATGTGGCTTTTCTCAGAGGCAGCCATAGCCAAAGCGAGAGCCTCATACTCCTGCTTCTTCGCCTCGTAGGCTTGCGCAGCTTCTTCGAGAGTATTGAAAGTACCCAACCATGTCCTCACTTTGGTCACTGGATTCCTAATCTCAGCTGCCCATTTACCCCATTTCCTTTGCCTGACACCTACAGGTTTCTTCGGTGCTGGTTTCTTTTCTTCGGTTGTTGATGTTGGGGTTTTAGGCAAAACCCTTCTCCTCTTACTGGGGGGGTTAGCACTATTATTACTGTCTTGACAGGAGCTCTCAGGCTCAAGGGCTTTTGGCTGGGGAGAAACAGCGAGTGGAAGATTGATTTCTCGCACGAACCGTTTTTTAAAGGATCTTTTATCAGATTCATCATCGCTCGAATCAGTTTCTGTGGCATATGGATCATTCCAGATGACACGGATTTTTCTCATTTTGGACTCGATTTTAGACTACTGGGACAAAACTGGATTTGAATCGTTGAATTTTTGGCAGGATTATATGGGATGAAAAGGTTGCCTTTTTGGTTCTGGAATTATGAACGACGGAGACTATTCAAAACCGTTCAAATTGAGAAGCACAGAACTTTGGGAATGATAAAGGAAGGAACAAATCAGAAGAAACTAAAGCAGAGAAGGTTTATTTGATTATCAAGTGAGAGCCCCTCTCAAGAACAGGAAAAGATAGAAGAAAGCCCCAAAAGAACAAGTCCTGCAAAAACGAGAAAACCCAACAAACCCAATTCAGAAACTGACCAAAAACATCTAAAGATCCCAAAAAACATGTCACAGGTTAATAAAAAAAGGAGAACAAAAAACATACCTTTTTGGTCTCAAAGGCATCGAAATTACTGAGTACACCAGATTCAAACTCTGTTGTAAACAGCAGAGAAGCATATAGAGGGAACAGCAACAAGCAACAACGAAAGTTTTTGCAATCAAAGAAAAAATCCAGAGCTGCAATTGCACCCCAACCAAAGCCAAATCAAGCTCAGCCGACATAAATCCACTCCTCAAAACAGAGAATCCTCACTCTAGGGTTCTTCCCCGCTCCCTTAGTTTAGCCAAAAGAAAGAGAACAATAAATGAGGTACTGCTCCAGATATATACTAGGAGAATAAGCACCAAATGATAAACAAGCCCACGAGGGCAATACAACAAAAAAGATTAAAAAGGATTACAAATCTATGGATACGATGCTTCCTCTATAACATGACAAAACATCATCTGTTAAAATACTCTAAAACAATTATTTAAGGTTTCAGGTTTTTAAAAAAAGATACTATCATAAAGACCTTAACCAGACCTTAACTCCATAACGCAAATCTCCATAAAATCTAGAATAAACAAATAAAAATCTAACAAGTGATAGTACTACCTTGGTGACTGTGTCTCTGTCTTCTCTTCCACTACTGGTCTCTATCTCTCTGCCCTTTTCTCTATTCTAGGCCATTCACAGTTGCACTTTTCTCCATGCGGTCAAAAATGAGAGACGGTGCACACGTATTTATAGAAAGAGAGAAATTTAAGTTACTGTTAAGAATTACTTAATAGTACCAAGAGGAGTAAGTTGTATCTGATAAATATGTGACCTGGCATGATATCTATCATGCATGAGCATCATCTACTTACAATGTCATGTATATCATGCCGTGCCTGTTAAAATTTTGTTTTCACATGAGTTTTGAATCAACACGTGTAGGATGCTGAGGTGATTATTGGTTTGGAAACGGTAGGTGGGGTTAATGTCAATGTGTTTTACGTGGAATGTTGAGCATACGCGCTATCAGAGTGCGTATGTGGATGTGCGTGACTAGTCGATGGCCGCTTTTTGGGGAACGAAGCGCCGCGAAAGCGTATTCAAGGGATGGTTATGTGAGTGTCTTTCTTAATAGTTTTTAGATATAATTTTTATATGTTAATGTTAAAAATACAGTATTATTTTAATATATTTTTAATTAAAAAATACTTATATAAAAATATCTTATAGTGCCATGCACAGATTTAATCGAAATGTATGGGTGTTATAGCTGTAAATAACTGACAGTTGATGCCTTAAAAAGTCTTGCTCCCGGTCCTAAACGGTACCGCCTTGAAGTCTTTCGTAGGAGTATAGTTTTTTAACAGGAATACTTTATTCATTTGACTGGTTTCCTTTGTACATTTCTATATTAATTAATAATCGAGAGGCAATCTCGGGGGAGGATTTGTAGGATCAGGCATTAGCGTTGAGACTTCACTGGCCAAATCTTTGAAAGTGGGAGGGAATACTTCTTTCCCTTTTTGCTCTGTCAATTAATGTGATTCTAAAAATAAATAAATAAAGAGTTGTTGGGGGTGCAATTTTGTTTGATGTGGACTATGTTCTCCATAATTATTTTCACCTTTTGTAATGGTGATTTTATTCTATATTGGTATCTATTTTTATCCAAAAAAAAAATTTGGTATGTGTTTAGGCTTTCAACACTGACATGGGCGGGCACTTTACCTGGATTTTTCTCAACTTTATCCGGTGAAACCATAAAAATACATAGAAGCGAAACATTTATGTACGACAAGAATAATTTCGAGTTTTTTTAAAAAAAATACATAAATCTTTTTCCACTTTAAAAATATGTAATTTTTTAAAATAAAAACTTCAGAGAGAGAGAGAGTATAACAAGGGAAATGTGATCACTTTTTAGAGAATGAAAATTATTAATTTCATTTATTTTTACTTTTTTTTAAATATTATTTTTCATTGTTTTTCACGTAGGTGCAAGAAAGTGAAGGATTGATGCATGGAGAGAACTTTACACGAATTTTACAAAAAACCTATTTGTTGCTATTTATAAAAAAATAATTTATTATTTTTTTAAGATTTTGTGAGAAATCAGACGAAAAAATTTGAAAATAAAGTAAGGGACGGAGACAATAAGGGAATGGAGCTGTTGCTGAGTTGGGTTCGGGTAATATTTTGTTTAATTGAAATGTCCACCGAATATTGAGTAGACGAAGAAGGGTAGTATTTCCTTGTCAAGGAAAAAATTAAAAATAAATAAATGAGGCCATCGAGTGCCGGTTGCTGACTTTAATTGGAGCCACGGAGCTGTAATTAATTTCACTAGAAGAAGTTATTGGCTGAATGATCTCTCTGTAGAGTTCATGTGTGTAATCAAATACAGTATAGCACATTTTATCAATCAATTCTTTGAACACTTCATGTAAAACAAAATCGACGCACCGGCTTCCTGAAAAGACCTGCAACTTTATAAATTTAGTTTGTTTTTATGTTTTTAAAAAGATTATTTTTTAGTATTTTTTAATTATTTTAATGTGTTAATATAAAAATTATTTTTAAAAAATAAAAAAAATTATTTTAATATGTTTTTAAGTAAAATCTACTAAACACATTAAAATCACATGAGAAATAATATTATTAAATTTAATCTATACTGGAGAAATATTATGTAATAATGCATGAAATAACTTAAATGGTATTTTTTGTTCAATTTCTCATTGTGATTTCCTTATTCCTATAGTTGGACGACGATTTGTTTATTTGAGCGAGAAAGGACTTCCACTAATAAGTTTTTTAAAAAATGAAAAAAACTAAGAAGCCACAAACAAACGGGGCATAGAAGAAGTTCGGTTTTTACAGGCAAACATTATATGTGATTTATTCCATACGTTGTTGTCCGGTGGTCTTGGTGTCCTCTGTATTTTATTCATTTTTTTCTGATTCCGTATTAATTATTTATTGCAGTACATGGCTACTTTTATTTTACTATTTTCACCTGTGTGCTGAAAGTATAATTATACTGTTTATGCGTGGGTAGTGATGTTTGCTATTGTGTTTTAGTGGCTCCTTTGGGTGCTTGTTAATTAATTAATTAATGATTGACTTGCACAGAACAAAACATCTCTTCATTGAATGAATAAAAAGAGAGAAAATCTCTTTAATTTCCACGTCAATCATTCACTAGCAGGATTTATTTTTTAAAATAGTTTTTATTTAAAAATATATTAAAATAATTCTATTTTATTTTCAAAAACTTATATTTTATATCTGAAGATGATATAAAAATATCAACATATATTAATTTCAAATAAAAAATATAAAAACCAGAGGTTCATAAAGTCAATCAGTGACCCCGCGCTTTTGTTTGCCTGCCGCTTAAAAAATTTATTCAAAAATCCCTACTACCCGCAACGTCCAGTTTAAATCGACCGTACATGAACCTCATACACACCGGAATCTTTGAAGGATGCCAGTATACGTGTGGTTCAAATAAAATATAAAATAAGCTAATATTTTTATTTATAAACAATTATTAATATATTTAAGAATATTATTTTAATTATTTTTTAAAGTATTTTTTATATCAAAATATATCAAAATAATTTTTTTATTTTTTAAAAAATATTTTTGAGATCAATGTATTAAAATAATTAAAAATAAAAAAAAAATAAAAAAAATCAAACACTGTACAATCACTTTTCAAACAATTAAAATATTAATCTGAATTTTGAAATATTTTGAAAGAGTCAAAGCAAGAAGAAGAAAAGAATAATATTCTTATTTCTTTGCAAGGTTGTCGGATTGACGGGGCCGAGTATTCTTGTACGTAGCATTGGAGACAACTGATAATTTTTAAATTTTATTAATTAATAATTAATTAAAAGAGACATAATTTTCAGAGGAGCACGCATCACGAACGTGTTCATGTCCACATGGGGAATAGCAATGGTCAAATCAAACGGCCCGTACTCCATCAGCTAAACAAAACAGTACTGGGACTTGTCCCATTCCCCGACCAACCAGTATAAGCAGTGGCACCGCAACACCAATCACTGAAAAATCTTGCTCGAATAAAAAATAAGTCCTCTCGGTGGACGTGCAAGAGCTGGAAAATCTGGTTAAAATGTATGGGACCTATGGGTTTTTGACTTTTCGTGTTCTCGTTCAGAAAGTACGAGTCGGCTGCTGCCTAGTTTCGGGCGACTGAAAGGTTGCGTAAAAATTAGGTTAAGAGTTTATTGGTCAAAAAAACTTTGATTTTGACTCATGTTTTATTCGAAACATCTAAAAAAACACTGGTAAATTTATTTATAATTTTAAATTGCTAAAATTTTAAAGAATTTCAAGTTCAAGTCTACCATTGTCATAGATAAAAAAAATTATATTTATTTTAAAAAAATAATTAAATTTGTACTTTTTTAATGTTCTCTATGATTAATGTATTAATATAAAAAAAATTGCTTTAATATATTTTTAAATAAAAAACCTTTTAAAAGTACCCCAACGTAATATCAAGCACGCGTATTTTTTAAGTAAAAAATATAACAAATATATAAATTAACATGCAAGGCATGACCCAATATGACATGACATACATATGAACCCATGCATGCACAAGGATTTATTGACACATCATATGTATGATCCGTGCATTAACTTGGCCTGTGTGTGGAGAAGAAGACAAGTGTGTCACGCAAGAGAGGGTGTGTGGACCATGAAAGGTAGCTTCCGTTTCCCGCCATAGGCACCGACGTGGAGCCCATTGACTTCATTTTCCCGCCAAACCACCATTTTCTCGGTCTTATCCTGAAGGAGAGATCGACACCTGTCACCTTGGACAAGTGTGAGCCAGCTGCTGGGCCATTAATGGTGATGATGAGGGGCCACATAGAAATGAGTTGTATCTGGGAGTGCCTTTTCTGTTTTTTGCCATACTTTATCTGTTTGTGTGTTGATGTGTAAAAAATGGAAGTCTGATGTGTAACTGAGCCCTACCCCCATCGCTTTAATTAGCCGGGGGCCACATAGAAATGAGTTGTATCTAGGAGTGCCTTTTCTGTTTTTTGCCTTACTTTATCTGTTTGTGTGTTGATGTGTAAAAAATGGAAGCTCTGATGTGAAACTGAGCCCTACCCCCATCGCTTTAGTTAGCCGACAGCACAGATATGTGGACAGGAAATTATGTAAACTTCTTTTTTCTTCTTCCAAATATATCTTCTCCCTCATATTTTTTTTAATGCTTTCCAGGTAGAAAATTGTGGGTTCGGATTTCCCTATCAGTTAGTGGAGGTGACTTGCATTCTACAAAACTGGAACTACAATTATCATATGCCATAGACAGCGCTGAAAATTCTCCAGATTTCAAGACTGCCACTGGAACTTTAAAAATAAGTTCCGAGATAAAAAGGAAAAAAGGGGGGGATCTGGGAGTGTTTTTCACCGCGTGTGGGATACGGAGACTTGATCTCCTATGTAAATTAGCAGTCTCCGCATTTACCATTCACACTAGCAAATATGAAATACAGTGTATCTTTTTATATTTAAGTAGTATTTGGGTGTAAAGAATCTTTTTTGGGCGACAACACTGCAATAGTCTTTTCAAGTTCACACTGGCTGAGATACTCCTATACAATAACCAAAGTGAAAAACATTGAAATCCCGTGAAAATCTTATGCAAAGTTCAAACCTTTTTTTTTTTTTCACTT